TCCAGGGACTAAGACCCCAGACTTCAATCCTGAGAGCTGAGAACACAATGAGGCAATTCCCATGCATCCAGACAGGGCGTGCCAAGGCTTACCTCAGCCACCCTGATCCACAGCTCAACCACCCTGGCCCTGTCCTGTGCTGTCATGCTCGCGTCCCCAAGGCAGGTGACGAGGATGCAATTGGCCATGGTGTTGTCGTGCATCACAGTGTCACGGACGGTGGGTGCCAGGGACTCGCGTTTCCTGTTGTCACGCTCAGACCAGATGGAGCCGAGGCAGTGGGCGGGCACCAACGTCTTGAACAGCTCCTGCAGAAGATGCGGAGTGTCACCCGGTCCTGCCACACCCCAGCTCAGCGTCCACAGTCCCCCATAGGCCCAGGCAGGGTGAGATAAGAACTGGAGCTCAGGAAGCAGAGCATCTGGACTGAGGCTTATGGGAGTCCCTGGGTTTTGTCTGTGTCCACTGGAATGCACCCAGTCCAGGATGACCCCGAACTCAGGACTGTGGGGAAGGGAGGGGACATTTGCTCCCAGCCCCATCTCACTTCCTCCAAGCTCCAGAAGGCAGCCCACACATGCCCACCAGAAGGGCCATCATCCACCCATCCCAGTGTCCCTCGAGTCCCACTCCCCATTCCCATGCACATTCCCCCCGAGGCAGGGACAACCCCCAGCTTTGTTTGACTGTCTCCACTGGGCTCAATACACATCACCTTCCTGATAAGTGCTGAGGCTGTCCGGGCCACCTGCGCAGATGGGGGATCCGCCCAAGGACCTGGCAGCACTTCAGTGAGTGCCCGTCCCCCACCAAAGGGCCAGACTCTGCCCACCTTCCACTCTCTCCCACCTCATTCATCGGCACAGCCACCCTATACAGCAGGTGCTGAGTGTCTGTCTCTACTGTCCCGTGTTCGCTAGGAGACAGTGAAGGCTTGGGGAGAAAGAAATCTGCCCAGGTCACAGTGTTGATAAGGAAGGGAGCAGGGATTTGGACCCAGATCATCGGAATCCTGAGCAGGGAATGGCAGGTGTGGGGTGGCTCATGGCACCGGGAAGGCAGGGGCCACCCGCCCCGCGAGCTCCTCTGCTCACCGCAGCCATCCTCGTCATCTGCTCTGCCACCAGCTGGGGAGGGAAGTCCAAGATGTTCAGCTTCTCCTCCCTCAGCTGGTCCTCGGTGGTCACGGCCCAGGGGCACCTGGGCTCTGGGGCTGCCTTTACTGGTGGCCTTTGCTCTGGTCCTGGAGTGGCCAACTCACGGGCTGCTGGCTCCAGCTCTACCACACGTGGTGAGACTGGAGGTGCAGCTGGCTCCAGCCCGGGGGCTGGCACTGGCTCTGGCTCTGGAAGTGGCAGGAGCTTTGGAGCTGGCTCTGGAGCAGGATAAAGAGAAAGTTTCACGCACACACCTGACAGTTTCTGTGCCTTTCCAAAGATAGAAAGGACTCCACTGCCTCTAAGGGAACGCTAGCCCGTGAACCTCAACACAGACAGTCTTCCCAGACTCCAGTCCCCTCACCTTTCCGTTCGGCCTCAATGGCCTTGAGATGCTCCAGATGGCCTGGCAGAAGGTAGGCATGGCCCTCCACGTGGGAGCCACCAAAGCTGACGTGCAGAGTGGCCAGCTGCAGGGTCCAACAGGGAAACCACAGGGGCTCCCTGCAATCCTGCCCTTGGCCCAGCCAGGTTCCCAGCAGGAAATAGATAGCACTGCGGGGAGGCTGATGGGCCAGAGAGTCAGTGGCCTGGCCTTTCCTTAAACACCAGCCTCCCAAGGCACTCTTATTAGCATCTGCGCCCCTGTGCCAGACCCTCCCCCTCCAGAGGAGGGCCCCATCCCAGCCCTGAGCCCTGGCTGCCTGACCTGGCTGTGGCAGGCCTGCTCATCCAGCAGGCTGAACACAGAGTCTGTGAGACTCTCTTGTTCCCACCGACACTCTCCTCCCCAAGGGTCTGGACACAGCCCACTCAAGCCCTCCATGTATGTGGGCCACTGGAATGAAGACTCCAGCAGATTTGGGAGCAGCTTGCTCACACACCTCCTACTATGGACCTGGCGGTGGTGCTCACAAGGTGTGGATGTGGAGAAAGGGAGGCAGGAGGAGCTGGGACTCTGCTGGGAGTGGGTCTCTAGGAGACAACGCAGCCCAGCCTCCCTTCCAATTCTCAAGGGGCCTGGGACCCATGCACAGCTCTCTTTGAGTCCAGTCCTGCTGGAGTGGAAGCCACCAGAACTGAGCCCTCCCATGGGAATCACAAGATGGGTGAGATGCAGGGTTCTCCCAGGCCTGACCCGGCCACAGCCTCCATCCTCGCCCCGCACCCTTTTTGCTAGAGACAGGAGGCCCTTCTTCTCGACCCAAAGACCACTCACTTTGGGAGGTGGTCCTGTCCTCCAGCATCCCGCACGCAATGGGCCAAGCTGCCTCCATGTGTCCCAAAGGGGATGAGGGCATCACCCGGGATGGCGGGTAGATGGGACCTGTGAATGATGTCAAGTGTGACTGTCTGACTCTCAAAATAGAGGGGAGGACCAAGGAGGCTGTCTGCTTCCTTCACTGAGTGACCCTTAGTGTGTCCAGAAGTCCTGCTCAGAGTAGGTCCTTCATAGACATTGTTGAATGACCTCCAACCAGAACCATCCCAGGTGTCTGAGTGGGCCTGTGGCCCCTCTGTGACCCTAGAGATCCCTAAGTGGCTACACCAAGGACAAGCACCAGGACCAGCTGGATGGCATCTCAAACTCTTTGACAGGGTGCTCTCCAGGTGCTTTTCCAAACTCAAAAAGCCACAAGCCAGTGAAGGGAGAGGTGAAGTGAAGACTACTTTCCATGGGGGACAGAGAAATAATCACCACCAGCAACCACAGCATGGCCCACCACCCTCTCTGCAGAGCCGGGCACCAGGGAAGCCCCTGGATGGCTGATCCCATTCATCCCTGGGAGAAGCCTAGCAAGTTCATCCTCTCTCACCCGACATATCAGAGGAGCCAACTCAGGCTCAGAGAGATATGGTGACATTCCCAAGGCAAGACACACAGCTGGCAGTGGGCAGAGTCACCACTGTGCTGAGGAGGAGGCAGGCAGTCCCCTGGGAAACAGCTGGTCCAGGACCTGGTGGGAAGTGCTGGAGCCTGAGTAGCTGTAGAGGGAGTTGATGACACTGCAGAGGACTCTGCTGGGGAAGGCTGGCAGCACAGACTCTGAGAGCCTCTGCATCATGCCTGCCTGGAGGGCACGCATCCTGCAGGCATCAGTTACAGACAGAGTGGACTCATCTTCACTCTGGGTGGGATGAGGAGGACACAGGGTCAGGGCCACCACTGTGAACCACCAGTGTTATCGAGGTCTGCAGCTGACCCAGGAACTCCTAGCCCCTCCCAGACATGTGCGACAGGAGACACAGGAGCTCCCACACTCAGCAAGGTTCTGGGCTCTCACAGTACAATCTGACTTTGGGCGTGCGAAGGATTCCACATTGATCTCCCTCGAGGCCATTTGCTCGCTGAGGGACAACAGACCTCCCTCTGTGAAGAGCACCAGCCCAGTGAGTCCTCAACAGACACCCCCTCTCTAGAGAGGAGAACAGAGGCTTAGGTACGCCAGGTGGCTTCTCTGGGTCCTGTGGGTCAGAACTGAGAGCTGCCCAAAGTGAGGGCTGAAGGGCCAGCCCCTCTAACTGCCTGAGGCTTCATTGGGCCCCAACCTGGAGGGAAATGTTATGTGACCACCCCACCCTGCCCCAGTCTGGAAACAGTGGACAAGGCAGTGACACACTCTGAGAATCCCTTTGACTTCCAAAACACGCTGATGGTTATTTCGCTTACATTAAAGGGAGTTTGGAGACCCTCGTTATCGAGGTTGCATGTTCCAAAAAAGGCAAAATTCAAAGATACTCAGGGCCTAGTGGGAAGTGACAACGTTTTCTCTAATCTTCCTAGGAAAATGCAACGAGTGCCCTCCTATCCTCCTATGCAGCTGGTGGGGAGGAGCAGAAGTCCAGATTCCTTTGGGACTGTGGGACACTCAGGGTGGACAGCCCTGTTAGGCTCCCAGGAGATGGGCAGTTTGAGGGTGGATTCTGGGCCTACCCTGGTCATCTCAGGGGCCTGGGTGGGAAGACCCCTCCGTGCCCACTCTCACCTCAGAGCAGCCCTGGTTATTGATGATGGTGCCGTGCAGTTGGCCCCTGTCCAGGGAGATGGAGTACCCGAAGCCATTTGCCAGCTCTTTGACCACCTCCTGCATGCAGCTCTGCAAAGACAGTGCCCGAGAGCCGGGCCGGGATGTCTCAGGCACCTGCCTCGACTTGGCCACAGGAGGAAACCCCAGCAGGGATCAGGTACCGGGCAGTGTCTGTGTAGAACTCCAGCCAGGGAGGGAATGAGATGACACCCGGATGGCTCGGGACTAACCTATGGGTAGAGGAGCTTGGTCCCCAGCACCCACTCTCCCATCCTGCTAGCCAACACCTAGGCTGGGAACACAACGCACTGCCAGGCTTCCAACACCCAGCAAAGGGCTCCAGCCTAGGATGAGTGCCCCCTCATCCCCGCCGTCCCTCACTCCACTCCCCCGGGACACACAAGGAGGCTCAGAGGGGTGTGGGGTTGGGATCCCATTGTGGCCTAAGGCGGTTGGCCTGCCCTGTGTTACCTGAGGGATCCTCCTGCCAAATGGCCAGAGGTGGTGCAGGTGAGGGCCAAGCCAATGTGTGTAGCAACTGAAAAGTCTCTGTTTCTTGGCTTTCCTGAAGCCACAGCCTCGACAAGTCGGGAGACAACAGCAGAGCATCCTGCTCTCTTGAGTGTCTCTACTCAAGTGAGCTCAATAGGAGGCTATGTCTAGAATGTGGGCACCTGGAGACCAGTGTGCTAAGTTCTGTTAGGGTCTGTCACCAAGGAAGTGAGGTCACTTCCTCAAGCTTCCATTACCCGGGCCTCTTCTTTCAATCACACCAACCCAAAACCCCTCTGGGATCTTGGCTACTCACCCTCCTTGCCCATGTCATCACCAGAACTGTACACAAATAGCCAGCACAGAGCCTCACACAGGACCTTGAGATGGAACCAGGTTTCCAGCTTGAGGAAGCTGAGTTCAGCTGAGTTCACGCCTCTCTTTCCCTAGAAGCTCTGTGTCCTGGAAACACCATTGTGCCTCGCAAGGCCTCCTCAATCCTTCAACCTGCACGATAGGGACGAGGCCAGAAATAGCTCCCTCAGGATGTCCTCAGCTGCAGAAGAGACAGTAGTGACAACACCTGGTGTCTGGTTTCACTTGTGTCTGATGCACACACTTAGAGATGAAAGAATGACAAGAAGGGGTGGGCTATCGTGTGGAGTACCCCTTAAAACAGGCCTGTGTCACAGCTCTTGGGCGTTGAGCAAGTCCCTGCCCCTCTGGGCCTCATTTACACATCTGCAGCTTTAACGGGTTGAAATTAGAGGAAATTCAGAGATTGCCAGTCACTGGCATGAATGATTCCACGGTCTCCTGTTTCCCTTAGAGTCAGAACCAAGTGCCTCATGTTGGCCTATGTGGAGGGCAGCCTCCACCACGGCTCCCGGTGCTCACTGTCTCCTGCTGTGCACATCCTTGTGGAACCGCACAGTCATTAGGAAGTGACTTCTGAATAGAATGCAGCCAAGGTGTTGGGATGGTACACAACCCAGGGTTAAGAACAAAAAGCCTGGCCCTTCCTTCTTACTCATTGTCTTTAGCCCCCTCCCTCTTTCCCTCCTCCTGTTTCCATCTCTCTCTCTCTCTGCCTCTTATATCTCTGGAACTGGGGGAGCAAGTGCACATGTGTTCAATTTCCCTATGTAGAGGCTCCATAGGAGAG